AAGTACAAGCGGCGCACGCACCTTTCGTCGGTGGCAAGGGAGCGAGGGTTGTCGCCGAAGCTGCAATGCAACACGCTGGCTGGCCGGTTGAGCACTAATAAATCATCATCAAGGCGAATCAAATACTGTCACACCTGTTCGGCGTTCCGCACTCCGTTTGACGTGGCTGGTACGCTCGATTCGATAAACGGCGTGCTCATCTGTCAGCTCGGGTGGCCCAGAAGTTAAGCAATCCACGCAACGCTGTGTCTCGTGAGGGTGTCAGAAGATACTTCTTTGACCTCGTGAAGGCTTGCCTCGGCTTTACGTGAGGCATACGGGATCTGCTTGGTGCGACTCCCACCGAACGCCACGCACCTATTGCAACCTTTGGATGTGGCCCTGTTCCGAACGTTCAAGCGCAAAATTGCCAATGGGGTTAGTGAACGTTTGCAGGCCATGAACTTGACATTGTTACCTCGCGAGACGGCCATTGCAATTGCCGGGAACGCCTTCAACGCTGTTTTTCCTCAGCTTGATGATGTGAAGAAGACAAACCAAGCAGTGGTGAGCGGTTTCCGTACCTGTGGTATTTGGCCTTTTTCGCTTCCATGCATGCTGCGTCGCTTAGCCGCTGCAAAGACCAATTGTGTGGAGGGGCCGCTGGGTTCTGAAGTTTGATTGAAGACAGTGAAGTATTCAATGGAAGTCGTTCTTACCTTGCCACCGAAAAGAGCTGGGCGCTAGAGGGTGTCGACAGAACAGGATTGGCACACCCGCGACGCTCTGCATGCCTCCTCGGTCCAGCCAGTAAAGCGAAAGACGTGATCCGATATTTTTTTGAATCCTGTCATTATATTTGTCTGTAATAAAATGACTTTTGTCGACACCTTGAATTTAAATATAGTGATTATATTTTGGTCTCTTTTTTTGTAAATTGTTTTGTTCACATACTGAACTCAAGACTTCGAAGTGTCCGCGATTTGTGAAACCTTGGAGTTTTCATGTGCCTTTGACTGGAGAGATTATAATTTGAGTACAAATCTCAAAAGTTGTCAAATGCTGCGCAAAGTGACACCAAAAATCGACGTTGAATTATATTTTCGTGGGGTACTTTCCGTTTTTCCTGCAACAACATAGTTTATTCAGGAGACGAAGTAGAAAACAGAGGTCAAATTTCGGCAAAAAATGTTCGGGATTTCGATGCGTTACTTTACGGTATTTGACCATACAGTTACGGTATTTGACCATACTGTCCCGCAGATAGTCGATGAATCCAATTTGAACCGTATTCATCCTGTCGTCCAAATATGGCATACCTCCCAATTTTGAGTGAATACAGTTAGCAGTGAAAACGACAAGGAATAATGGACTCTGCGTCCGCTCCGCGTTTTCTGGAGCTGCATAGTTCTGAGGTTCAGGCATCCTATTTCATTCTCTGGTCGTGAAGTTTTCGAAGGCGTCAAGTTGGCGAGCCCAGTGAGAAAACGCTTTGAGACAGGCAATGCCCGTGGTGACACCATTCATCATCGTGTCGAGTTGAATGAGTGTTTGGAGTCCAATGACGCGAACGAGAGACATCCAGTCACCAATTGGTAGGTCGCACACGCTAAAGTTGTTGTCGTTGTCATTTGTGTAGCACGCAGGATGCGAATTGAAGGCAAACGTGCGAATCGCTTCGCACGTGACGTTGGGCGACCGCAACATTGGCACGAGTTTCTGTTGCAGACAGGTCATTGTACCGTCGAGCCACCGTCGCCCGTCCTCGGAGAACCAGTCCTTCTTTTCGTTGAATTTCACGCAGTATTTTTCTCCAAAGTCGATTGCGTATCCTCGCGGACCACAAGGATGAGCCACCTCAATGCATTGCGAGTAAAACGCGCATGACTTGGGGACAGGACGTTGGCACTGCGGTAAATTGGCCGGGTCAGTGTGATGCCCTTGGTCTTGTCTCAACGCGCACGAGGAGGCAACGGCCGCAGCGAGGACGGTCACTTTCATCGTTGTTGTGTGAACGGCGAAATTGTGGGACTGCTGGTGACTGCTTGCACACACACTGGACGTTGTCAAGTCTTCAAGGTCTGATGTGGTAGAGGTGGTCACTACGAACGGATGTTTCGTCGCAAATCGTGATCTTCTCAGCCCAGGACAGACTGGGGCTTTGACCACTAGGTCAGCCTGTTCAAACCGGAGTTGCAACTTCGAGCAAACCGTGTGAATGGGAGGGAGCAGTGAGAAACTGATGCATGAACTGTAAATGCAGCTGCACTATGGCCATGCATCGAAGTCACATTTTTTAATGTAATAGATCCAACTGGAACCGGAACTGTTGTTGCATGCGTCACTACTTCGTCGTGGTATGGCCAATGCCCGTCAAGCAACTACCGTCAGGCGACGCAGTCGATGGCGTGGTGAGAGAATCGTCGGCTGCTGTCAAGCGCGATGACTCGGATTTGCCCTTTGTATCGTCGCTTCGTGGACTCTACCAACCTGTTGTCTGTCATGCATTGCAGCGAAGGATGGGTCACAGCACGAGTCTACTGAATGCAGCACCCACCGTCTCCATCGCGCCTCACTCCTGTCGCCACACGGCCAACACACAGCATAGATGCATTCTGCACCATGGAGGCGCTCATATTATGTTTTCGATCGAATGCTGCATATCACTATTCCGTACAGAGAGTTCACGACGCATTTTAAAGGTGAATATATTGTGGGTTGCATACAAAAACCAAATGCACGACGATGTGTTCTTTTTATTATGGTGCCATGGATTCACATACAAAAACCAAATATAAGCGTCATGGACGTGTCCCATAGGCTAGTAGACCCGGGGGGTTACTACCGACCACTCCTTACTACACGCGAATTTGCCCACTTGGCATGAGCCAATTCCACACGGACGTGGCATTTGAAGCGGCCGAGCACTACGGAGAGGACGAAGACCTGGACCCGACGACCCAACCGCATCCACACGCCCAGCAACCAAACCACCCACAGCCCCAACCCATCAGCCAAGAGTACTTCAAGGTGGACAAGCCGTCGTATGTGTGGTCGGTCATCTACAAGCTCAAGACGCCACAGCTGAACAAGCGTCAGAAGACGTGCTTTTACGTGTGCATCAAGTGCATTGAGGAGAACGTCCCTTGGCAAGATTGCTTGATCAACCTCGTCAAGCAAAACCCGTCCAACGGCACGTTGCACATCAAGAATCGCCACCCGGCAGTCTGGAACGACCATGTCGACGCCCAGGCAGGAATTGAAAAGAAGGAAAAGACCAAGCTCGATGTTGGAACGACCAACTTGCCAGCAATGTCACGTAAACGCGCCCGTCCGTCGCCGTTCCAAGGATCGATCGAGTCGCTGGACTTTCCCCGAGAAAGCATCACGACGATGCTGACGCCAAAACAGTACGACGATGACATCAGCAACACCGACCGCGAAAGACTCGAGTTGCATCGCTTGGACATCCAGCTGCGTTACGATCTGGAGAATCAACGACTTGCACTCGAGCGCCGCCGTGAGGAGCGCGCCGAACGTGAGTTTGAACTGAAGCAGCGCCTCATCCTCGCCCAGACAAAGGAGTCGGAGTTCAACTTGAAAGCGAACCGCCTTCGTCTCAAAGTCGACATGGCGAAACTCGGGGTGCCAGTTGGCGATGTCAGTCTCGTATTGGGGGACGAGGTCGCCATCTAAGACCCTTTCTGCGTTGTGTAGCAGGTACAACGGTCCTAGCCGACGAGACAGGTGGAATGCACTGACAATTACATTCACGACTTTATCTACCATCTTGCGTTCCTCGTGAGTCAAGGGATTCTTTTCACCACATGCCTTGGGTGTTCGCCTTGAAAAGGAGCTTGACGAAGAGGCGCTTCGTCGAGCTCCTCGCATTTGTACACCAAGATCCTGGGCTGCCGCGACAACGATGAGTTTTGCAGGTTAGAGCTTTCCAAGAGTGCAATCCTCGCATCAGCAATGGCCTTGCAACGCCCTCGCGCAAACCCATTATTCCACTCGTCCACACAGTGGTTTGTATGTCGTGCGGATTCAAAACGAATGCGGACGTACAGAACGTCGGCGCAAACGACTCTCAACCTGGTGCACAGCCTGCCGAGCAGGATGCGCCAGCTCCATGGCACGTGGTCGAAGAATGGCATTTCCCCGTTTCGATGCTATTTTGATTGGCCAAAATAGATGTTATTATAACCAATGGTTCGTCGATAATGTGGAAGTTGAATCAGTGCATCACGCGCGATGCTGTTCCGCGACTTGGCAGCGGTATTTCGTCGCATCCAAGTACGTTGAGCGAAGGAATGCTGGATTACCCATGCTGCTGGATTGTATAGCTCAAGAATTCACGAGATGCGTCCATCTCGGAACTCTCTAATGCGTTTCGAGCTATTCGGGACAACACCCCAACTCAGCTGCCCAAAGCCATGTATCTCGTGACGTCCCAGGTACGGTGCATTTATGCGATAATGGCTCGCACTGTGGATGCCTACTAGCTGGCGCCGTCCCACCAAGGTGTCGAGCTTCGTTTCCGCGATAAGGCCTTTGCACCGGTCGTTCAAACTGCGTTTGCCAGTATGTGCTGCTCCAACCCATGAAGATCGTTACCAAGACGCGTCTTGCGCAGGTGCCAACGCCGACATTCCCACCATATTCGATGCATACCAAAAGTCAGGTCAGTCGGATCTCATTCAAGGCGCGGTGGTTGTCCACTCGTTAACGCCGGTAATATCAGGTGACTATGGCACGGCCGTGGAAGACCTCCTCAAACAATCCATTCTCACGCTGCCGACGGCGTCCGCGTTCGACAACTCAGCATCTCCCATGACGATCGACGTTGTTTATGAGTTGTATTGTTCGTCCTGGGCGCCACTCTCATGGTGCATCTAGTCAATTGTGCGAATTGGCTACACAAGTCGGCAAAGGGTCGACCCAGCGCAAACAGGTACCCGTTCCTCCGTTGCCATCTCGTTGTGAGCTCAATGAATTGCAAAGGACATCGCTGCCGCTCTCTTGGCCCGGGCATCGTACGTCGTTGTGCTTTAAATCAAATGAATGAATGGTCATTGTAGAACCGTGGACGAAGCGACCTTTCTAACGCGCCTGCTCGCCGTACGTCGTGCCTGTTACGCTCCTGGAGTGGTCTTCATGGCATGCGCGAACTTTCTTTGACCGCTTGAACGTCGCGTGGCAGAGCTGTCGGATGCTGTTGGAGTTACCATGTGGATGGCTAAGGCGTTCTCAAGATGATTCCCCACTGACAACGACTTGCAACATCGTAGCATCAAAATCTTCGCATTGGCATCGGGGAAAAGAGTGTCGTGACAGCGCTAGCCCATTCCTTCGCCGATTCCGAGACAGACAAGCCATTGTTGCAGCCATGGCTGTCCTCTGTCACAACCGCGTACTCGCAGCGCCCGATATTTGAGGACTTGATCGAGACGTTGATCCAGCCGCAAGTGTTGGCGCTGCCGTCCCTCGCCGACAAAGCCGCTTTTATCCAGGACCATGCCGTGCCCAAGCCTGGGACGCCCGTCCAAACGATGCTGGGGTATCCCGTGTCCAGTCTGCATCAAGTACTTGCCCGAGGATTCCGCGCGCACATGACAAAATCTTAGATTCCTCAGCGCATGCGCAAGTACCGTGGTGGTGCGGCGGCGTGCGAGTTCAAGTATGATGGCGCGCGGCTGCAGATTCACATGACGAGCGTGTCGCAAGCTGCCCAGGACGACGCGCCGTCGCGATCGCTTTCGATTTTTAGCCGCAACCTGGAGCGCATTCCGGAGGACCACAAATACTTTTTGAATGTTGCGGCGCATGTCGTGCCCTTTGTGAATTCGCACGTCGAGTCGCTCATTATTGAGGGCGAAATGGTCGCTGTGCAAGATGCCGTCGAGAGCGGCGACACCCCCCATTTGCTTCCGTTCCAGATGCTTCAGACCAACAGCAATTCGACCATGTGCCTGTTTGCGTTCGACTGCTTGTACCTCAACGGCACGTCGCTTCTCCACCGTCCGTTTCATGAGCGGCGGGCGGCGCTCCACACGGCGTTTTCGCCCCCGTTGCAGCGCCAGCGTCAAGGTCCACACTCCCCAACTCGGTTTCAATTTGTGCAAAGCCAGGATGTGGTATTTTCGAGCGACGAAGCGAGCGATGAGGACGGCACCAATGGCAGCGACGGCAATCAATTAGTGCTCCGAGCTGTCCTCCAGGCCGCCATCGACGCCGACTGCGAAGGACTCATGGTGAAAGCTCTCGATGAACCGTACAAGCCGGGATGTCGGACCCACACATGGCTTAAAGTCAAGCGAGACTACCTTCCCGCGACCCCGGCCATGGCAAGCGGAATGTTCTTGCCAGACTCGCTGGATCTCGTGCCCATAGCTGCCTTCCGGGGCAAAGGTCGCCGGGCCGACGTGTTTGGGTCGTTCCTGCTGGCGTGCTACGACCCGACCAACGACGTCTTCCGCGTGAGTCGCAAAACGTCACATGACGAGCTGATTTCGATTGATGCTGGGCGTAGACGGTTGGAAAGGTCGGGTCGGGGTTCACCGACGTGGGCTTGGCCGACATTTCGACGCGCTTGCTGGATACGGTGGTGGCCGCCAAGCGTACGACCTCTAGCTTCTGGACGACGTAGTCTCATCAACTTGATTTGCGAGCAGCGCCTCAGTACATTGCGAGCGACATGAAGTCGATCCAACCAGACGTGTGGTTTGCACCGTCCGAAGTGTGGGAGATCCGTGCGGCGCAACTGACCAAATCCACCAAGTACACTGCTGGCCAGACGTTGTTCTTGTCGAAGCCGTCGGCAAACAAGTCGGGACTCGGCCTTCGGTTCCCGCGATTTCTTGCTGTGCGGCACGACAAGTGTGTGGCCCAAGCCACGACAGACGACCAGCTCGCCGCGCTGTACCAGGACAGCGCGTCAACCACTGCATCCAACGAGCAACCAATTGATACAATAGATATTTCATCCGTTTAGTCTGTTGCTTCGATGTCCGCTAGACACGCATGAAGAGACGCTACGACTGATGCGGTCGTCGGTCGCCGGACTGGGTCCCGATGCAGACATGCCGCGATAAGATGTGCGACGAGGCCCTCCCGCAATGTCGGGAAAGGCAAAATGGCCGCGGACGGATTTGTGTAAATTTCGTGGATGCGGGCATCTCCCGCGACCGGGCCAAGTTGCGTCAAGTACGTTGCGTACGGCCGGCCGCACGTGGCGATTTCACCCAGGAGGATGCCGAGAGCAAACACATCCGCTTGAGGGGAAGCCGGCGACGCCGTATCAGCGACGAGCTCGGGGGCGACGGTCGCCATGACGAAGCTTCCATACGAGAGCTTGGAGTCGTCGTCGGGAGGAGGAGAAGGCGGGTCGTTCATCCATGGCATCGTATTCAATCGAACCGACCCATCTGAGCTCCGCACCGACACGTTAGTACTTGTGAGAAGCCGCGCCAGCGGTCGGTCCGTAGTCGCGTGCAGGTACGCCGCGGCGCTCGCGACTCCCACCGCGAGTTGGCGCATGCGAGCCTCCACGGAGTGGACGACAAGGTCGGGGGTGCAGTTGGCCACTTGAAACAAAAACGAAGGCAGTCCTTGGTCGGACGAGCCATGGTCGAACACGGCGCAAATGGAAATGCCGCTAAGTTTGGTCGCGCCCACCAGCTTCGTCACATTTGGATGGACCAGTGTCGCGAGGAATTCGAGTTTCTGCAGGAACGAGTCGAAGCACGCCTGATCTTGGTCTCGGTAGTCAAGACGGTGCAGCGTCACGGCCGTCTTGTGGTATTGCGCCGTGAGGAGGCCGGCCGGGACCTTCGAGACTCGGCCGAGCTTGATGTCCTTCGGGGGCAGCAGGCTGTACGATCGACCGTAACGGGGCGGAAACGGCGTCAAGATCGGCTCGGACAATGTTACATCGTCCTTTGCCTTGGACAGCAGCATTGCATCGACGTGCTGTCCGCTGGTGCCTTCCATGATGGGAGTGCTTCCCGTCAAGAGCTCGTCGGCCCCTGATGTTCGCATCCACGGCGACAGCAATCGCCGTCTGTGCAAAACAAACACGCCGACGAGGGCACCTATGACCACCACCACGATGGTTGTGAAAACCAAACTCCACGGATTTGGCCCCGACGGCGGCGGCAATGTCGTAGGGCACAACGTCATGGAAGGAATGATTCGGTGGGACGTCGCAGTGCATTGGGCAGCCACATCGTCGTCGACGGAGATGTTTCTCGACCGAATCGTGTCGCACTGCGACAGAGTCAGGTCGATAAACGCATTTTGCGTCAAGTTGCTGGAGCGCCATGAGTCGACATATTCGGGGGAAGGACAAGGGCGTCGTACATGACGGCAGTGGGCGCGACAGTGTTTGGAAATGAAGGAAATGACGTGAGCCCGACGTTGACAAGTTTGCTAGAGCCAGCATGAATCGGAAAACGCATTGTGTTGGGGCAAGAAGGTGGCATACATAGTCTGCAGTGGTGGCTGGGTAGACCAGAGCGGGACTCCCGTGAGATTGCAGTTGTGAATTTCCCTGCATGACAACAATGAGCTGCCGTGTCGACTAGCGGACACAACAAGTACACGTGGGTCAACTCGGAAAGCTCCGTGAAGTCGAGCATAATCGCGTTCGGGGTTTTGCAGTTGGCAAGAATGCTACGAACGAGACGGCGCCAGTTGGACGTGGCACAGTCCACGAAAGCCTGCACGTACATGTGGGAGAGTTTGTTGTCGGGGGCGAAGTCTTGTGCTCGGCTTCCGTGAACCACAACGCGATTCAAGGCACTATGACATTCAGATGCATCCGCCGTCGGTTCGCGTATCCGACATGCGTCGACGTACATAGTGTGAAGCTGCCTGAGGTTCTTCAACATGTCAAATGCAAATGTGAAGTCGTTGTTGGCCGCAGCGGAAATGAACCTGCCCCAAACGATGAGCGGTCTGTAAGATTGGTCCACGTACAAGATCTTTGGAGCAGCCGATGCGCCGTCGGTGAGGGCGTTCGTGGTCGAGATGTTGGTGGCGATGTCGATACGGTCGTCCTGTTCGCGAGGATTCGCGTGCGGACCTTGGCCATTTATGCGAAGATGCATGCTGTTGGCGACTGGGAAGCATGTTGTACCGCAGTTCATGCACCAATCGTCACCCTTTGTGACGATCGGCTCGCAAGCGTGCACGGTAGGTACGGAGGTGGTTATGGCGACGAAGGTCATCGCAGCCCCCAGCGTCCGCGTCCACTTGCGGGTGTGCTTCATCTGCCGTTGCATGGTCCGGCGCCCGAGACTGGTTGCCGCTCAATGCCGTAAATGACAGCGGCAGGCAGATCGTATTCATCGTGGGATCGCTTCCATCTGGGTGACTGTCGCCTTGTTCGGGTGTCCATTGCAAAATCAAACAATTTTTTTACCTGTGCATCTCCATGTTTCAAACAGGAAAATTTTCTTTTTTCAATCCCATTTTCATTCGACAAGATCCAGACGTTACCCACTTTGACCAGCCTGCCTGTGTCCCCACCCGCGCCATCGGCCACCGTGCGCGGCTGCGACATACTAGTCCGTGGTGCGCGCATCTTGGGACCTCGCGCGGCGTCGGACCTCGAGCCTTGACCGCTTGCTACCCCAGGAGCGTGCCCAGGGACATCGAAAGGGTGGCGCCGACTACTTTGAGTGTGCTGCTGTGCCTGCAGTGGGACGTCGCAGCATCTGAGTTTTGCCCCAAATAGTTGGCGGTCGGATGGCGCGAGGGATCGCGCCTTCATTCCTTACACCAGCAAGCCCCTTCCGTCGTGCTCTTGCGTGGGCTACAAGAGAGACGGTTGCGGGCAGGCGCGGTAGTGAGCCCGTGCTGGCGACGTGTACGGAGGAAAGGAATTGGACGAAATATGTTATTATGATCGTAGTCGCCACCGACTGTTTTGACAATCTGCATCTGGCTCTTGGACAGACCCACAAGCGACCCCTCCGCGCGCCTCGCTCAACTCAACACTCCGTCCGAGCCAGCAGGCGCCTCCTGGGTGCGCAGCACAATGCATGGCTGTACCTCTCGTGTCTGTCTTCGGGGACTCGCTACAATAGGCGCTGACTTGTCAGTGCCCGGCAAGCGTCGTGCACTTCGTTGGCGCGTTGGTTCGAACGTGGTGGTGTCGTCGCCAGAAGTAGAATATCGTTGTAGGATTCACGTTACGAAGTTGTCTTTCGATCGACGCAGAGACACCGAGCGAGCTCGTCGGCCACATGCACGGCCAGTGGGCGCTTCAACACGTCGCGCTGCAAACACGCAGATATCAACGCTTGATACGAAACGGGGACGTCGGGTCGCATCGCCTTGATGACTTCTTCGTGCGGAAGGATGTTTTCCGACGCTGCCCCATGCATAATCTCCACGATGCACACGTCGCTCCCGACGTGTCCATGCGCATCGATCCAGTGCTGGTACGGCGCGCTGCGCGTCGCAATCTCGCCGAGGACGACCCCCAACGTGTAAATGTCCGAGGTCGACGACCGCATGCACTGGTGGGCCACGACTTCGGGCGCTTCGTACGCCAGCACTTGGTGACCATACGTCGACTCGACACTCTTGGATGCCATGAAGTCGAACACGTTTAACTTTGCGCGGCCGTGGGCGTTCACAAGAATATCTCTCGTTGTCCATGGCGCCGACCGTTTGAAGTTGGGCTGGGAGTGCACGCATGCGAGTGCGGATGCGATGTCCCATGCGAGTTGCACCTTATGCGACCACGTTAGAGGCATCACGTAGGGCCGCGGCGGCGTTGGCGTTTGGTGGCGCAAGAGCAGGCCGAGCGAGCCGCGAGCCATCCACTCGGCCACGACGCACAAGTCGTTGTCTGGCAAGTGTACGATGCCGTACAAGACCACAATGTTGGGGTGGACGAGGTGTGTCGCCGCCGCGTTCAGGTCTCGAAAGAACTCGTTCCTTGCGACGTTGTCCATCGCAATGTAGCGCACGCGTTTGCCAATGTAAGGACGATGGAGCATCATGACGTTCCATATGGAGCTGCCGTGGGCAACTGGAGACACCATGATGACGTCGGACGAGGGCAGGATCGCCAACGAAGACGCGACGTGGACGACTGGTTGCGTCGCTGGAAGCGGTCGAATGGGTTGTGGCCTGTTGAGCTCGCCTTCGCGCTGAACGAATGACCGAGACAAAGCGTGTGAGAGGCGTCTCGAACTTGCCAAAACTCCGTTCGTGGCGTCGTTGGGGGCCTGAGCCGTTGGCGTCACCATGTGGTCGTGGAGCACAATGTCAGGGCGAATTGTGCCAAGCAAGGCGAACGATCCGTCGCTGCCGCATGGGCTGAGGGCCGGGGCCCGCGTGAGGGTGAAGAGCGGTGAGTCGGAGCCCCCAGCAGTGGAAAGAGGTAGGTGGCGGTGAAATGCGAGTTGTTGGTGGTGCTGCTCATGTCGAAGTAGCATCCGACGACGGCAAAAAACAACTGCGGTGACTGCAAGGAGCAGGATGGCCGCTGCCGCAACTACGAGCAAGGTGCTGGGCGAGCTGGCTTCGACGGTAGTGGGGCCGGGCAGCTGTGAGGGTGAGAGGTCCATTCCGACTGTCGACATGGTGCACGTTGTGACGGCAATGCACGCTGCTGGGCATGTCACCGAGACTCCGACAACGATGTTGGGAGAAGAGAGCAAGGTCGTGCAAGTTTGGCCAACGACGACAAGCGGAGATGGAAATGCGTTCCCCGTGAGGTTGACTGCCACGAGGGATGGTGACTGGAAGAGCGAGTCTGGGAACGACGTCATGCGATTCAGGCTCAAGTCGACGCGCTGTAGTTTGGAAGGGGACGGAACGTCTAGCGACTTCAACTGGCATCCCACGACCTCCCTGTTGAGCCGACATGAGTCCCCAGCGCAAAGATTGACGCGAGAGTTCGTACAGAGTAATTAGCGCCGTGTAGTTCACGCTGGATTCGGCAAGGGCGCCACCAAAATCGACGCCTTGAAGGTGGCTAATGAATCATTGTGGGAATCTGACAGTACATGACGAGGGAGATGTACATGTGGGCGAAGGCGCGGGCTCGCCAAGGAGCGAGGTCCAGGGTCGGGAGAGCGACGTCCCCATGGCCGATGGCGGACAATGACGAGACGACCCATGGTTCCTCGGCAGGGGCTGCGGTGGAAGTGACGAATCGAACGCAAAGGTCGATGGATGGGCTAGCATTGCAGCACACACTGGACGCTGTCGAGTTGATCGTGATGCTCGTTGCGTTCCCGCATTGAGACTTGACGAATGCAATATCCGACGAAGTCGACTCGGCATCAAGAAGTGTTGTGTTGGAAGCAGACGTTGTCGGACCTGCGATTCGCGCAGCTACACCGACATTCGAATGAAACCTAGTCGTGGTTTGGGCAAGGCTAACCCGTCGTTGCCGCCAGGGACACCGGTGATGCGTTCGCCATGACGGGGCTCAAAAGAGGATGCGCGGCCAAGTGAGCAGAGCGCTGGCGGTACGTCGCACTGGTCAGGGACGCCCGACGCTCGCAGCAGCAATGGATGAGTTGTGTGATTCATGCATGCACTGGGAAAGAGGTCAGCAACCGTTGCAACCTTGCTGCACGTCAACGCGTCAGTAAAATATATTGATCGTGAACTTCATATTTGTATCCATGTTGCTTGAATTTTATTGCTGGCTGTATAAAAGTACGGCGGCACAGGGTTGTAACAGTGTCCCTTCAAGGATCGTCACAAACGAACGTCAATATGGCGTACATTAACACAACGAAAAACGTACAATAGCGTTAAGATGTCCTATCTGCGATTTTGCTTGTGTTGCGGAGATGGGCACGAACGCGAGAAGTTCGACTTCCACGGGCATTTCTCGTTCACCGTCCGTGCAATGCAGGAAGCGCAGGCACATCCACACGCACGAGCGCGTCCGTTGGCGCCACATGCTTGTTGTGTGCAAGCATCAATGGCAACTTCGCATGAAGGCGTCACGGCGATCCACGAGGTTGTCCATTGGGTTTGCAGCAGTCACCGCGTGTGAGGCCAGAATCACATCGACACAAAAGACCGTTTGCCAACTGGTGTAGGGTGCTTCGGCTGCTGCATGTGACGACGGCCAGTTGTGTAGAATCCCTGCATCCATAAATTAGCCGTAGTTACGCTTGAGCAACATCATTTCTCGCTGCAGCGTCTCTGCAACGTTGACCGCGAGGGGGCGGCGGAGAACGTCCCGAGATAAACACGCAGCGACGAGAGATTTGAAGAAGCGGGGGCACGATTCGAGCTCCGGCCGATTTTCGTGCGGCAGGTCGTGCTTGTCGCGTTTGGCGTCGCGGATTCGAATGTCGGTGGCTGTCGCGCCGAAATTCTGAATCGACGACTGGTATGGTCGCGCCCGCGTCACGATCTCGCCGAGGATGACTCCAAGCGAGTACATCTCAGCCGCCGAGTTTCTCGAACAATTGTGGGTAAGCACTTCAGGCGCTTCCCACGCCAATGCGGCGCCGCCGTACGTGAACTCTGGCGTTGCGACGGGTGCGTGTGGCTGCAAAAAGTCAAACACGTCCAACTTGCACGAGAGCGACGCATTCACGAGAACATCGCGGCTCGTCAAGCATTTCGGTCCTCGGGAATAGTTGGGCTGACTGTGCATATACGCAAGGGCCGACGCGAGTTCGTAGCTCATGCGGAGTTGATCTGGCCACGACAATGCAAAGTCTTCCTTGAGTAGGACTCGAGGAAGCGACCCGAATTGCATGTACTCGGCAACTGCACTCACTTCGAACTCGCCAAGTCGAACGATGCCGTGCATGACGATAAGCTGAGGGTGTTCGAGCTGGGCGATGGTGGTCATGGCAGCTATGAGGCTGGTCATGGCGGCCTGGTTTGGGCAGTCCCACCGCTTCAGCACGACTTTTTCGTTGTTGAATTTCCCGATGAATACGTTGCCTGCAATCAGGTGTAGGAGCTTGACCTGGTCCGGTGGCAACAGAGGCAAGGGATCGGTGCTGCGGTACTTGGACAGCCCCAACACGGACGACCCGAGGATCGCCGAGCTCGATAGAATCACCGAGCTCGACGTCTTTCGAAGCAGCTGCGCTTTCGACGGCGCAGTGCTATCGAATGGCGCGTTCAACGACGACATGGAGACCATTTCGAAGCCCGTGAGAACGTTTGGATTTGGTTGCATCTGGCGGCGACGACGGTACATAACAAACGCGCCGATGGCGAGGCCCACGACGACGACGAACATCACGATGACGAGGACGGTTCCCGTTATGGACGAGTCTTGGTCCATGGAGGGAGCACTTTGCCCGGAATTGGAGCTGCTGTTGTTCGGATTGAAGATGGTGGAGAGTGCCGTTGTTGGTACGGACTGGTCGGGGGAGTTTGGGGACGGAGGGGGTGTTGTGGTGGTCATACGAGTGGGGACGTTCGACGTCGGGTTCGACGCTAAAGAGGTTGATGGAGTCCCAGATCGCATCAAAGTTGTGGTGGGGGGGGCTGCAGTCGATGGGGAAAGCGATGTTGGTCCCCCTGCCAGGGTCGGAAAGATGCACGATGGTGCTGGCGACGTGCACGAGCACTCAATGGGCAAACCCGTGATGTGGCCGGTCTCGGCCGCGATCTTGAGCCGGTCGCATTGGTTTGCTTCAATCGCAATGGATGGTTGCCATGGGTTGCCGTAAACATTGAGTTGTCTACAGGTCACGTCAGCCGCACGTTTTCAGAGACACCGTCCCCCAACTCACTCGATTGTGGTTTGGGTCGGACCGAACAAGTACGATGGAAACACTTTGAGACGATTGTTGCTCAAGTCAATGACGTGCAGTTTCGGCGCGGGGGGCGTCGCGATCGATTCCAAATCGGCATCCACGATGCTCCTAGCACACTTGTGGGTCACGGCACCGTGAGTCGTTTGGGGACACCATACAATTTGGTCACGGAGCGGAAATCAAAGCTCGACGCGTCGATGGCCTTCACCGATACCCGTGCAATGTCGCTACGTAGAGAAGCGGCCAAGAGTGACGAGACAGTCATGCAAATAGGAGGACGGTGCGCACATTTGGTCGACGGAAGCAAATGGAGCCCAGTTTTGAACCGTGTACAGGGGCTTGGGGGAATTGGGGACGGGAAAGATCGAGATACGGCGGGCGGTCCATTCGTTTGGTCGAAAGTAGACGCATTCGCGTGCTTTTCCATTCTGGGCAAATGCCGAGTCGCAGCACGCGCTGTTGTCGGCCTGGGTGAACCCCATCGCGTCGTACCGCTGACACCGCTTCAAGAGGGCGGCAACATCCTGCGACACACACGACGACGGGGTCGTCTGGCATGCAAAGAAGAGCCCACTGAAGTCGTCGGCGCCGCGGACGCCACTTTTTTCGTTTTTCATTGACGTCGCCCCAGATAAAACGGAATGCGCCCGCAACATGGCGACCTTGTCATCACCGCTTGATTGGCACGGCCATATGGTGTCGAGAGCTTCGACTTTTTGATTTAAACTCGGCTTTGTTTCGTACATGTATACAAACTTCCAGTGAAATGGCCGGATTGTATTAAACACCCGGTGCTGGCCCCACCGTGTGTGCCTCTTGAGCTACTTTGGGTTCGCACCCAGCCGCCATGACGTTTGGACTTTGGGTGGGACGCCCTGCATAGGCAAGCGCGGCGGATGCCCCTCGCCGGCCTTGGTCCGTGGCCATACACTGGCCGCATGCAGCCCATGTCGCTGTCACAAGGGCTGGGGAATCCCTCGAGACCTGGACGATGGCGCCACTGGGTGCTGGATATCGACGATGTGCAGACAGGACTCGCTGTCTTGCATCCGTTTGGAAAATTCCACGCAATTGGCACAGATGCATCGAAAGTGGTATCGGTCGCCCTGTAGACCTCTTGGCTCTGACCCTTTCGGCGCGACTGGGCTCTAGGCTACCCAGTGCTCCGGCGCTGTTACTTTGGCGTGACGTACACTACATTCCGACGAGCGAGCTCGCCCAGCGCGAGAGCAGTCACGTTGGGCCGACCGCCAGACTCGAGAGGCCAGGAATAGCGTGCTCCTTTTCGGCAAAGTCACGTGGTATTGGAGAATCGCGCTGCCCCGTTCGTAACGGTAGCGAGCTGCCAGCCATTGTACACGTCCCCCCCTCCTTGGTTCAGCCCGCCCTCGCACTTTTGTGCCGGGGGAGAACTCTCTGGTGCATGTAACACGCGCTCTCCACGTGACAAAGCGCGCAACGAAGACACGTAGGGGGCTCGCGCCCCCGTGTACCAACGCTAATGCCCTCGATTCGCTCCAGATCAGTGTGACCATGGAAGTGGCATTTTTCGTGTATTATTCACACCAATATTGCAGGAATTTCTGAATTTTTTTGGACAAGTTGCAATAAATTCTTGAAAGCTCGTGGCACTCGAACCAAACATGGCGACGGCTTCGTACGATGACATGTTGTACGCGCGCCGTATCCAGGTCCGTGGCGCTGAGCCTTCACGCCGGTCTGTGTCTCACGATCCCACAGAGAGCTCAGGAACTGTTTTGTGCTGATTGTCAAGCCACAGTCCCAGTTCTTTCCCATGGTACAACGATATGCATGACACGTCCCAACTCATCGACGGAAAAGACGACAGGCGTTGCTCTGCTTGTGGGGCCGATTTGCAGCCTCGTCCAGCGACGCAATCCCTACCAAGCGACACAACCAACGGCATTTCATCCCTCATGAACCGGCTGCTTGAAGTGTGGGGCATTGACCCGACAAGTACATCGACTCAACCAGCGTCCGAAGAAGCAGGTGCGATCGCTCCACCTTGACCTTCACCGCGATCCGATCCATGTGAATTCTGGTCGTAGTGGCCAAATTGAACACATTTGCGGCGGGGCAAGCAACGACTGTCGAAGTTGCGTTGGTGGCCAGTGGCATCAAAGGCGAGGTGGGGCGACGTCATCGATCGATGCCTTGCCTCAACAGGGACGCATGTAGGTCATCGTGGTTCCAGCCAACTTCGGCCCATGTGAATCCATCGAGTCGTCCCCAGTGGTAATATCGTCGCCATTCCATGGCAATGGGCCGCTGGCGAACGCGTCAACGATGCAGGGCAAAGCAAGTCTCGCACAAATCGGGCAGTATGGACAACTCATTGAATTTTGAGCACGTTTTAGATTGTACTCTTTGAGCGCGGGGTGTGCACGTTTGCGAGCAAAATTCAACGAGCTCAAGATGCCGGGGCCAAGGCTGTCGTCGTCGTGCAAACGACGGACGTGTGGCCGTACGTCATGACGGACTCGACTGGCGAGGGTATATCATTAACCATCCCTGCGTTCATCATCTCCAAGAAGCAAGGCCAAGGGTACGCGCTTCTCCGATGGCTCACTCGTATCGTTGAGCGGATTCCGTCAGGTTGGTGCAATACCTGCATGACCATCCCGACACGACCATGTCCATCGACGCACGGAAGGACGCACGCGAGTGCGTGATCTGCCAAGTCGACGTCCAAGTTGGTGTGCAAGTGGTCCAAATGCCGTGCCAAGTACTACATCCACTCGAGAATCGAATCTGACCGACGTGACGTGGCGATGTAGCACATCTTCCACGCCAATTGTATCAAGCAATGGCTGGACATCCGCAACAGTTGCCCCATCTGCCGCGTCGAAATCGCATCCAAACACCCGTCAGCCACTGCCAACAGCACAACACAAGCTCGCGGGAATTTCTTGTGGAGCGACTGGATGTCCTAACTGTACACTCCATTGTGAATCAAACACCTGCTTCCCCACGATTTCGTCGTGTATGCAGTGGCCGTCCTGAACAGCTCGTCGTCAACTGCATCGGTGCCATGGATCGGCTTCAAAGTCATGCACTGCTTTGTCCATGACCCAAAATATGGACGGAAGCCCTCGATTTGGTCCTTCAAGAGCAACGTGTAGTGCCAAATTCGTTGGCGGAGGGTCCCTCCCCTCTGGCGTCCGAAATAGTTGCAGACGGCGACGTCGAAGGACCATTCATTCCATTTGCATTTGCTAATGCTAGACGAGCTTTTTCTTTTGGAAGAACGACTGCAAGTGGTGCACTTGCCACACCCCCGCGACGAGAAGGACCACAATCTACCAACACGTGAGCTTCTGGCATGACAGATGTGGTAGACCTGAACGACAGACACCCACATCGCCCGCGCATTGTTGCTCTCGCTCGTGGCACGAAATTTTTCGCTTTTTTCCTGATGCCGTTCACTTGAAACTCAAAGGAGGATGGAGACTACGCCGCGCCTACCTGGGCATAATCCTGTTGGTTCTGGATCGCCTTCACGCGATCGCGCAGCTTCATCACTTCGAGCTCGAGTTCGTTCATTTGGTCTTTCTTCAGGTACTCGTATTCGTCGTTGCTCGTTCCAAAACGCAATTTAAGCTTGAATTTCTGCAACAGACATAACATGGCGATATGAAAAGGCAGCGGATCGGGACTCCGCGCACCATCTTGATCGAATCTGGAATGACGTATTTGTGCGTGTCGAGACTCACGCACGACCAATGCTCCCCAGCGCTCGTCGACGTAAAGGAGATAGTTCCTTTTTGACTCAAGGTCTGCGTGATCGACGGGGTTTGATTTGCTTCGTCCGTCATCGACGGGCTGTAAATCTTCAATACAGTTTTCTACGTCGAACGAAGAACAGAATGCATAAAACCAAACACATTGCGTGGAGAACAGCATAGAGAGAGCGCAGATGCGGCTCTCCACCGGAGTACCAGTTCGTCCGTCGTGTCAGGGGATTCGTACTCGGCGCGGAACGTTGTGCCTTTGGGCAGGTCCAAGTAGAAGCACTTGTGATCCTACAATCCAACACATCAGCGTCATACGCCCACCCTATCTTCTCGCTTCATTATCGCTTACGTTCGGTGTAACGAAGAAGTGCGCGGCATGCACAAGCGCGATACACGTGGCCGCCAGCGCCGCGAGGACTTTCATCCCCATCGTGTGTCTGCGGTAGGTGCGAAAAGGTAATATCACCAATCGAAACGCTCCAACACCGACTGTTTCGGCTAATCAAAACATTTCGCCCGATTTGCTTGAATCAAAAAGAGGTAAAATTCGACAAAGTGTGACAAATTGCAAAAACGAAATTCGAAATGGCTCAAAATGAGATTCAACCAATCAGTGGTCATTATAAGATACATCATGACCAATCAGAAATTCGGAAGGAAAAATGCTTATCTGGCCAAAATATTGCTACAACAACACGAGATTGTTGGCATGGTCCAGGCTCATGCCAAGCTTCACAAGTTCGTGCTGCGCTTTGACCCTGGCAAGCCGCAGGGAAAGCTCTGCTTCTTGAGCCCTGGCTTGAGCTTCTCGGTCTGTTGCGGGCACTTCGTTCACCATAGGTCGCACCTGAATGTCCTCACACCCACCACTCACTTGCTTCTTGAAGTTGGCGATGTGCTGCTCCACGAGTAAGCGTAGCTGCTTGCCGGCGTGGTTCATGTTTCGCACTGGAATTTTCAGGAAGTTTTGAAGGTCAGCGAGGCCACCGTGGGGCAGTTGGGGCCTTTCGACGACCGCAAGCACCCGCATGTACGTCTTCATGTTTTGGAAGATGCGCTTCTTCAGGTTTGAATCGACAAACAGGGCGAAGCACGGGTCGCAGCAGTCTGGCTGGTTCTTCCGACGCGGCACGACACGTTTAGTGCACAACGTGCTGAACAACTGAAAGCCCAACGTGTCTGCACTGCGAATGACGTGTGCTCCAGGAGGTATTTGACCGAATCGGGCAAATACCTGGAGGATTTCGAATGTGTCGGCAGGCAGTGCACCAGGACAGACCGCAGACCTTTGGTGCTGCGCTGAGACTTCGATAAGTTGCGACGATTGAATTTCAAAGTCCACGTCGAGTTGGGTAAGCTTTTTTCGCTTCTTGGCTGGTCGCACCATGGATGGAGATAAGGTGACGTCCACTGGGATGGTACCTGGTGCACCATGAGGAACGATGTGCTCCGCGTAGCCACCACCGCTTGTGCCATTTCTATGCTTCTTGCTCCGTCGAATATGCCGATTCCACCGCTCACTACTAAAGAGATTTCTTGAATCGCAACGGAGCTGGCAGTCGCAAACATTGCAGTGGACCCATTCACCACCGTCAACGTCGAGAGCGGATATGCGACTATCCACGACACACTTCGCCATATAGTCGTATATCGATGGAGGCCACCTCTTTGCAGTACTTTCGTAGCGCACTGCCGCGATCTCAGCCATGTCCTTTGAGACTGGAGACCGCGCACTTTGCATCGATCGATCACGTGCTGCCTCACAGGAATCTGCAACATGCGAGACAGTCAACATCCGGATAAATTGTGACAAGCAACCGAAAATGCGAGAGTGAACCTTTCAATGCTTGGACGCAACCAATCCAAAGGTGAAGGCCATGGGCACTGCGCACACACCACTACCTTCTGCTACCTTCGATAGACTGTTCATATGCGCACACCGGTCCTCACTGAATGAAATCCCTTACATGCAGCCCTCTCCCCTGCATTCCCTCGCCATGGGAGCAACCAGCGAGCGAAGCTGGGGAAGCGCCGAGACAGACGTCCACGTCACGAACGTGCTCAAATCCAAACCATGCAAAATATATGTGGAGAGATTAGCCTCAACGAAACTGCGCTCACACGCCTCAGTCGGACGCACGCAACGCTCGGCGGACAAACAGCCCGTTGTTCTGGACGACGCCGCGCGCTTGGTCGACGTCGCGGATGCGAAAGAAGTTGGCCTTCGATAAGGCTTGCGCCCCCGCCTTGGACTTGGCATTCGACTCGGCAAATCCTTCCAAGTCTACATTGTGTCGCTCCGCGACCTTCGAGTCGGCGCGCTTGTGGGCGTCGCTCTCTCGACCTTGACTCGCGGCGTTGAGCGCGTCCGCCTTGTTCAGCGAGGCCGCCGACTGCTTGGCGGCGTTGAACCCCGACGGAGGGATAAGGTCGTCGACGTACCCGCCTCCACACCCCCCGCCGCCGCACTCCAAGTCGTCCAGACGGCGGCCAAAGAACACGGCGCCCTTGGCAACCTGGTTGGCATCGTACTGTTGGACCGCGTTCTTCTTCGCGATGGCATCGGCAAAGCCGCGGTCGTTTGCGACGGCGTTCGCATGGTTTTTCGTGAACACGACGTCTTCACGCAGACCAATGTTTCCCGCGCTCGAGTCGACATGGTTGTCAAAGTGGCTAGCCGCCGCCTCCTCCGCGTTGACTTTGTCCGCCGCATTCGCACTGGCTTTGACAAAGAAGGCGGTGCCGGGCGGCCCCACAGGGAATCCGACGAAGCCGTCGGCACTTTGGGTGGCGGTCACAGTCAACATCGCGATGGTCAAGGTACCGAAGAAGGTGGTGGTGCAGTGCATGCCAGACTTGACCAGTGTGAGAATGAGATATTGTTTCCAGCGGTCAGCGCACCGGTCAAGCCGTGTGCACGAGTGTAGACTCGACAGCGAGTGGGTGGCTTGTTTCAACGACCCGTTTCTGCCGCAAA